GGTGTTTCTGGTGATTTACAGTAAAAGTATCAATCAGTGTTTTTCAAATCCACAAATCATGCGAGAGGAAGTCAAGCAAAGATGTCTTGATGTGTTTATCATGTTGATAAGAAGACTGAAAAGAAATGGCTGATAGAAGCTTGATTCGCTGAACAAGCTTATGTTCATTTTATAAAATAACATTCAGTATCATTTCACACCGATTTACTTACACAGACATATGAAGAGATGTTGAGCATCAATAACTCCCACAATGCTTTGTTGTTTAACCAGTGTTTGATGTCACTGATAGTTGCTACTAATTCTTGTGTATGTTGTTTTTCAATAGCACCGTTTTTACTTGTATTTTTGTGTGTTTGCTGTACTGTAGGTCACATTAATACAAACCACTTATTCTCACACAAAACACAATCTAACCCTTTGCTTCATATTATAGTATGATGTACATGATGGCTTTTGTATTTGTTTTTTTCAGTCTGTTAAGAGTACTATCATAAATGTAGTAGTGCTTCAGTTATTAAAGTGCATCAGTGAATTAATGCCTTTGTGGTGACTGAAGTAAAGGTCATAATAGGTCATAGTGACCAGGGCCTATCAAGCTCCAAAAAGAGCAAAAACAAGTGATAAAAGCACCATAAAATGGTCTGTATGAATCATTCACTGTATCTTCCAAGTCTTCTGACTGAAGTCATATTACAGATTTGTGTGAGGAACAGACCAAAGTATAATCTTGCCTTCCCCCGAATCTCACATCTATTCCACATATGGGGTTTGAACTACATGAGCATAAGTAAGCAATAACACTGTTTTCATATTTATATGACCTGTCACGTTAAGGGCCCGTTACGAGGCTGATAGGCCAATATTCTCCACTAGAGGACAGAATGAACTGACCAGATCCTAAACACGAGCTCTACTACAAACATGGGCACGCTTACACAACCTGTATTCGAACATTGAGAAACCACAGTCTCTGTAAGTTGTATATTATGTCTAGTTTTTATTATGAAACAGAAAAAAAAACATGTCTAACAATACCAGTGCTGATAATCATGTAAATTTACAGAAAGGGTAGTACAAGTTCAGAGATTTATTTCATTTTTGAGTCACATGTTTGAGTAATATTCATAATACAGCATTCTGTGCAAACATAGAAGGAAGTTCACAAACCAGGGAAGTGAAATATTGCCACACCGTTTAATGACTGTTTACTTCTCATACTTCAGTGTGACAGTGTTTTGTAATGGATTATTTTATATGCTTAGACTTGTTCCTTTTTTCCTCTGTGCAAATGTAGTCATTAAATGACTAAAGCAGTTTTTAAAATCTATTATACAATGCTTCATTTGAACCTGGGAGACCAAGTCTAATTGTGTCAAAGATTAAAGGATTAGTTCACTTTCAAATTAAACATTTCCTGATAAATTACTCACCCCCATATGTCATCCAAGATGTTTACGTCTTTCTTTCTTCAGTCGAAAGGAAATTAAGGTTTTTGATAAAAACATTCCAGGATTATTCTCCTTATAGTGAACTTCAACGGCTACCAAATGGTTGAAGGTCAAAATTGCAGTTTCAGTGCAGCTTCAAAGGCCTCTACACGATCCCAGACGAGGAATAAGGGTCTTATCTAGCGAAACGATTGGTCATTTTCTAAAAAAGAATAAAAATTATATACTTTTAAACCTCAAAGGCTGGTCTTGTGTAGCTCTGCAATGCGCATGCCTACTATGTGCAGTCCCGTTCGAAACAGTTAGTGTTGACAACTTCTTTCAATTTTCTCTATATAGTGGACTTCAGTGGGGTTCACTGGGTGGAAGGTCCAAATTGCAGCTTCAGTGCAGCTTCAAAGTGCTCTACACGATCCCAGACGAGGAATAAGGGTCTTATCTAGCGAAACGATTGGTCATTTTCTAAAAAAGAATAAAAATTATATACTTTTAAACCTCAAAGGCTGGTCTTGTGTAGCTCTGCAATGCGCATGCCTACTATGTGCAGTCCCGTTCGAAACAGTTAGTGTTGACAACTTCTTTCAATAGAAAGTAGCTAAAACCAGTTTGAAAAGTCGCTAAATGTGCCAGATGACGTCATACGCTAATTAGCATATTCATGATGTCATCTGGTCTGTTGCCTTTTACATTTGTTTGTCTCTGTGCTCACATACTGTATTTAATGCAGCCAAATTCTCAATAAAACTGTTTTCATTTATATATATTACTGTTTCTGTTGTCAGACAACAGAATAAATATGAAATAGTGACTGAAATGCGGCCCTTTAAGACTACATAACCAGCTCTCCCTTCCAAGACGTTAATCTGCACAAAAATCCTGCTTTATATTTGAGCCATCGTCTGATGAAATGAAACACACATAAGAAAAGACAAGACACAGACAATTCCTGTGCTGTGATTTCGACTATATTTGCATGTAAAATTTGAGAAGCAACATAATATCTATTTTAACTGAAGGCGCTGCTCCTCTCAGCCGCTCGCTGAACAGAGCAGACGAAGAGAAAGAGGTGTGTGCGCGCTGACCTCGCGCCGTTGCGTCAGTACCAGCGATCACAGAGACTCGCTAAGGTTTGTCCAAGAAGTCGCTAGATTTGTCGCTAGTCGCTTTTTTGGAAAAAAAAGTTGCCAAGGGGTCTGAAAAGTCGCTAAATCTAGGCAACACTGAGGGTAGGTCGAAAAACTCCCATCTCATTTTCTCCGCCAACTTCAAAATCGTCCTACATCACTGAAGAAGTACCGACCCAGTGTTTACAAAGTGAACACGCAAAGAAGGTCAAAACCCTTTACAACCCCCCCGGGTAAAACAGCAATGTAGGACGATTTAGAACGATTTTGAAGTTGGAGGAGAAAATGAGATGGGAGTTTTTCGACATACCCTAACTGTTATGAACCGCCATGCAGAGGCAGAGCTAGACGAGATGAGCGTTTGAGGTTAAAAAGTATATAAATTGTAATTTATTTTTTTTAGAAAATGACCGATCGTTTCGCTAGATAATACCCATATTCCTGGATCGTGTAGAAGCTTTGAAGCTGCACTGAAACTGTAATTTTGACCTTCAACCGTTTGGTAGCCCTTGAAGTTCACTATAAGGAGAATAATCCTGGAATGTTTTCATCAAAAACCTTCATTTCTTTTCGACTGAAGAAAGAAAGACGTAAACATCTTGGATGACATAGGGGTGAGTAAATTATCAGGAAATTTTAATTTGAAAGTGAACTAGGGTTAAGCACATAATACATAATACATTCAAATTCAAGGTTAGCTCCATCACGCAGTGAGTTGTTGCCCTGCCTCATATTTGTCATCAGTCAATTGTATGAAATGTCAGATGACCCACATAGGTCTGGCCTGGGGCAGGGCAAGTGCGTTAAATGCCTTATTATTTTAACGCGTTATTTTTCACCTTAATCTAATTAACGCGTTAAATTACCAGCCCTAATTATATTATGATTTTATTTATTTATTTCAGGATGGGCCTCCCAACTCGCATGCTACTTCACAAACTGGTCTCAGGGAAAATAATGTGTTTTTTTAACCTTAAACCGCATAAACACATTTCATTACACCAAATACACAAAATAATGTTCTTGTTAGCAACATCATATGACCCCTTTAACCTTACCATAGGTTAACATTGTCATTTGGAGTCAATTGGAGATTTCAACTCCAGTGCAAATGAAAGTGGCAGCTGTGATCATCCTGTCAGTTTATCGGGCCATAAAGATAAGCATAGCCATACAGAACATAGCCATAAAGAATAACCTGACATTATCTTTGACATTTCCTTTCTTCATTGTGGTTCTCATATCAAGGTGTGTAAATCACTGGTTGTGACCCTGCTCAACAATACAACAATATGGACTGTGGTAGGTTACCTTGTACATTTGTTTTGGTAGTGCATGTCAACATCTGTTTTATCAGTTACCAATGAAAGCCTTTTGTAACACAACCTCCAAGTTGTGTGCCAACAGGATGACATGTAAGACTAATGACTCATTTTCTGTGTTTTGCCTCTCTCAGTACACTGTATAAGAAAAAAATTGCAGAAAAATGGAAAAGGTTCTGGTAACTTTCTGTGGACATGGCATTGTACACTATGAATATGTTCCTCTAGTTGCTATGGATCAAATTTAAATATAAGGATATTTTACAGTCTTTTTTGATAAACGTATTTTTTTGCAGTGGATGTAATTTTGGATCAGTATAAATTTTATTCCATAAGTAAGACTTAATATGTTTTGAGAGGGCCTGTGTCTTTGAAATGACTCTTCAAATTAGACACTTAATTCATTGAACTGAGTCATTAAAGTTTGAACAATGAAACAAACGCACCTACAATCACAATGTACAAAACCTAAAGACTGTTATAGTGCAATGATCCATCTCCTAAAAATGTATTGTATGATAACATCAAGGGCAGATGACAGGGAACTGCTATTTTAGGGAAATACCTGTGTGTTCTTGTTTTTGGTTAATCATCGGTAATTGGGAACAGGGAGTTCTGTGTGTTGGGGGTTATATAAACAATAACTTCTGTCTTTCATACAGCAGTGGCAGACAGAGTTTCTTGACTGATACGACCATCACAATATGATGACCAAATTCATTTTTCTAGCTGGTACGTGATTGTTGATCTTACAGAATTAATTTTAAGAGCTTCATGGCCTTGGAGTGCTTTATATGTTAACATTTCTTTTTATCTTGTTTCAGGCTTTTCCCTGGCATTGTGTCACTTTGGTAATTTTCTTTTCATTTGTTGTTTCATTCCTAAATAATATGTTAAAAAATCACTATATACTAATACTACTAACAATAATAATAATTTATCCATTCTGCTAACTGCTTTTCTTATGTAGGTTAATGGAAATAATAAATATAATAACAATTGCTTTTAATAATATTTTTTCATGTTTATTGTAATTAATAATTGTATATTATATTACTATATATTATATTTAGGGCTGGTAAGCGATCAAAATTTGTAATCTAATGATTCTGTGCACTCATTTAATTTATGCTTTTTCCGTCATTAATCAGGCGAATGAGTTGATCAAGTACGAATGGAATGATGACACTCTCTATAAATCTTTCAATGGACTAAAGGAAAAGTATGTATCTAATGTTTTGTTTGTGAATGCATTTGATAATAAAATAGAATGCATTATGTAATGTAGTTTTGAATAATGATGATTTGTCAGAGAGCAATACAGAAAATAATGATTCAAATATTTGACTTGACAGAAATCCCAACTTGAAAACTCTCTTGGCTGTCGGGGGATGGAACTTTGGCACAACTCAGTAAGAATGCTGCTCAAAACACTGAATTTTGAAGGATGGGTGATAAACTGTTTATTTCATTTTCATGAAACTTCTCGATCCAAATTCAGGGGGCTGTTTCATAAAACTAGTTTACCAAATAAGCCAGGCTTATTTCAGTTATTCATTTCACTTATTGTCACTTGATTTGGTTTTTCCGAAAGCAAAATTACCATAGCTCAAGCTCAGTCACTGTGGCAACTTATGTTGGGAAACTAACCTGGTCCAGGGCAGGCTAACTGTCAGGCTAAGCTTAGTTCCAACACTGATATTGATACGCATTGATATTACCACTGACTCTCTCACATACAATTAGTTTACTTTATTATTAGTCCAAAAATAAAAGCATACAGAAAATGCAACTTAAATAATCAAATAAATAAAAAAAAACTGGCTACAACCAACTGTATTTAATGTATTGTGCCCAAAATGTAATGACCAATATTTATTACATATAGGCCTACTCTTTTGGACCATGAGGGTGAGTAAATGATGACACAATTGTCATTTTTTGGGTGGGTGAACTGTACCTTTAATAGTTTATTTTATTAATTGTATTATTATTACTATGGAAATATGAAATTATTTCTTTAATTAAATGATACTCTAAATCAGGGCTGTCCAAACTCGGTCCTGGAGGGCTGGTGGCCTGCAGAGGTTAGCTCCAACCCCAATTCAACACACCTGAACCAGCTAATCAAGCTCTTACTAGGCATAGAAACTTCCAGTCAGGTGTGTTGAGGCAAGTTGGA